CCGCATCTCAGGTGTCTGCTGCCGTTGTCGGCCTCGTCTCGGCTGGATTCCAGTTGATGGATGGCGACGGAGGCCTCGTTGGCTTCAGGTGGATGTTCCTCATCTACGGACTTGTCGGCGTCGTCCTGAGCTTTACGCTTTTGTGGTGGCTTCCAGACCGGCCACTGGCACCAGGCCAGGTGAGGAAGCGCACTGGTCTCTTCAAGTGGCTCCCGGCCAGCCCTGAAGTGCTCACCGGCCAAGATGCCGTCATCCACTACTCCGAGCTCAAGCGTGTCTACCATGCTCGTCCATGGGGCCTGAGGGATCTCGGTCTTGTACTGCTGGACTGGCGGCTGTGGCCTCTGTGCCTAATGTACTTTGGAGTCGTCGGCGTCGGAATAGGCACTCAGCTCTACGGCTCAGTCATTATTGCTGCGATCCAGCCACAGGCGAGTGACATTGTCGTCAGCTTGCTCTTTGCTCCTATTTGGATTGTAAGTCGTTTCCGGTTTTGGTCTCATATACTTCCAACTCTGACTGAGCACACTCCAGATGGACCTCATCGCCATTCTCCTGGTCACACCAGTCTCTGATCGATTTCACCGCCTAAGACCGCTATTCTTTTCTGCAGCTGTCTGCATTCAGATTGCCGGTCTCCTAACGACTACCTTTGCTGTCCAAAATGGCTGGGCTCGTTATGGCGGTCTTCTTATGGTGGGCTTTGGCCTGGGGCCGACAGTCCCCATCTGCATGACTTGGACTTCTGAAATCTTCCAACGCCGCCACGGAGAAGTCGGCGTGGCAGCCGCCACCGCGCTGGTATCCGGCCTGGGAAACCTGGGCAGTGTCACCACCACATACGCCCTGTACTCGGGCTGGCCAGAGGATGCCGCACCCGGACCTCATCAGTTTCGCAAGAGCAACCTCACCATGATCGGAATTCTGTGCCTCAGCATTTTAAGCTCCGCCGTGATGTGGGTGCTGCTCAAAGTCGTGGGCAATCCTCCGAGCTCAAAGCTCCACGGTGGCGACTCGGCCAGCGACTTTGAGGATGGCGCAGCAAGACGAGAGGCCACGCAGCGTGGATTCAGGAAGTCTTCACTACGAGCCCGGCACCACGAGATCTAATTTGTCGTCTGTGAAGCGTCCCCAACGAGAGTCCCATCCTCGAGCCAATACAAAGCCTTCAACAGCAGCGACTTGGCGACGGTGTCTTCACAGCCAAACCTTTATCATTCAAGCATGGGCAGCTCAACCTGTCATTCCTCGTACAATTTTTTTTTAGGACGCCCTCTATCTTGCCGGCATCCTAGATTATCCCGCTCGTTACTTTTTCCTTCTGCGGCCGCCATGCGACCCATGCACTCATGGTCACACTCGACTTCGACTTTGAGGCCGCCCGCTCATGGCGCGTTACCTCCCAAGTAACACCACGTACTTGGGCCCCCCCTCAAAGACGGCAGTACCGCTACCGTTACACCCATCGCCCGAAAGAATTCTATGCAGTGGACTTTACTTTCGGAGACAAGACGTCCGGGCCATGACAATGCTTTCGCGCTATCATGCCTGGGAATAACTCTTCTGAAAGGGGGCCCTCGCAACAACTTCCTTTCGGCGTTTATCCACGTGGTCCTCTTTTGGATACTGTTTGTGTTTTTGCTTTTTTTTTGGTTTGGATCTTTTTTGCTTTTACCTTATGATACCCCATCAGCGTTTAATACCCGCTGTCTAACGAGTTACAAAGACATTTGTGAGAAACGAAGATACAATTCTCGACAGCGACAGTGCTACTACGCCATCGCTGGGACGGCGTGTTTGGACCGAGGCTCAAGATCCGACGACAATGCTGGTGCGCTATCGTCGGCGAGCCTCGTGGGCGTTCTTACTGTTCTTCTTTTCGTATACATTTATATACATTGAGCTATACGTAGGTGCATTGTTACATCAAGGCATAGACGGTAGCTTTAATAGACGGCTGTTCTACAGCATTGCCTATCTGTTCATCAATCAGTGTGATCAGGCAATTCCTTCATGCTGTACGCTATACTTGAACGCCACACCGACTTTTCTCGATTAAGAAGAGAAGGGATCGAGGAAGTGTACAGTGTCATGCCGAAGAATGCAGTGCCACATGAATGAGGGTAGTCCACAAGAGGGAGAGAAGGGATTGGAGAGTGCGTTGGTTGCCGTTTTCATGGTATGAACCCTTACATAGAAAGTAGATGTAACGAAAGCGGCCAGCTAGCAGTGAGGCCCTATCAATCAAATTGCGTGTCTAAAACATGCCGACTTTAGCAGCTGGAAGGGCATGTTTCTCATGAGACAAAACAAACAATGGAGACCCTGGAGGGCGCATGCCCCCTTGTCATGTTCCTCCGTGGTACTAGGGAAGAAGGCCCAGACCTGCATAGGGAAGCCCGCAAGAAATGGCTCGATGCAAGGGCCACTGCATTTGGAAAATTGCTCGTAGTAGTAGTACTACTGCAAAGCACGAAGTAGAGTTCGTGCATTGACACCCAGTTGTGTTACCTGGCATTCCAGAGCCATGTGGCTGCGCCTTGGACGGCTGCATGCAAGGCCTTGTGCCAAGCAAGGCGGACCAGCCGCGTCTCTTGATGATGGTTCAGGTCACACATTGCCAGAGGAGTCAGTTGAACATGGAGTTGTGCGAGGTGGCAAGCGCTGGTTTCGTACTTTTTGCCGCGGTGTACGTGAGCATCTCCGTGATGCTCGCAATACAAGACGTTAGGCTGGATATTGGCGAGTTCAAGGCCGTTGCAAGCTGAAGCATCTCATAGCCTCTCCTTTGCCTAGATGCCTCGGTAGAGTTCAAAGTTGGCAGCTAGTAGAGAGCTTTGGGTACCTTAAGGGAAAGTGAAACATTCAAATGGACAACTTCATGAAGGAGAGAGGGAGTAGAGTGTGTTGTTGGATTTGAAAGACTGAGGGAGCTGCCCCCTTGAAAACCTCTAAGGCGCCATACCCCGAGCTCCCTCCAGTGCATCATCTTCTTCATGATGCATCAAGCATTGAACGGCACGCGACAGTTCTTCAGCAGCGGTGCAGCTTGGATACACCGCATTGCGATTGGTTCCAGGAATTTGGTGTAGGACACACAATATTGCATCTGAGGAGATCGACAGCGGGGGAGGCTGGGCGCCGGGACCCGAGATCCCATGATGCAAGCAGGGCGGAAGAGGGCGTTGGATGAAAAGGCGTCTAAGACATGTTTGAGGCGTAAAGATAAGCACATGCAGTTGGGTTGAAGAAAGCAGACAAGATGAAGGAGGGAGACGATCAGAGTCGAAGGGCACGTCGGAGTGAGAGGCATGTTGGGCTAAGTCGCGGAGGAGGCATTCTTCCGTTGTCCGTACCTGCCTCTTTCCGTGACTTGGAGAGCTTCAACTCAACGTCAGCCAATCCCCCACAAGATTATCGAATCATTGCTTCTACACCGATGCACCCCAAACCAAGTGAATCGCGCACGATACAAGCAACAACTGATGCCATGGTTCAAGTGCCGGGAGCTGTAAGTCGTCACAAGTGTCTCTGTGTCCCCTGAAAGAGGCCTGACCCCCCCTACAGAATTGCAGTGTTCCCCCCCGCAGTAGCGCCTCCATGAACGCATGGCCCTGGCTCTCTTCCCTCGATGCGCCGATGTGATCGGTAACTACGGAGCAAAGTCGCGGGATACTGGGGTTGGCCCCGCTGGAGCTCCAGTGCAACACGCCTGGGGTCGATTCCGCTGAGGGGCGATTTGGCACCATCGCATCGCTCCCGGCAGTGTGTGCATTTCCGGCGTGCGTTTGGGCGAGACGTTGGTCGCAACCGTCTTCTCAACATGTTGCCACCAGTTGCGACAAGAGCCGTGTACGAACACATGAGCAGCGCCATAATAGAGCCTCCACGCTGCTAGGTATGCACTCTGCCGAGCTGCCACCTCGTGCTGCCCTTGCTTTTTTATTACATAGAACGAACGTGAATCCTAGGTACAGATCTCATTGAGCTGACAAGCCCTTCTCCGCTGGCCAGGACACAGCTACCTGAGGAGCTAGTCACCAGATTTATCCGCCCGAAGGTCACCGAGCGCCGACAGGCTAAGAAGCGAGCTTAGTTGACTGCGGAGCAGCCAGTCTACATCTTGGCATCTCCACGAATGGTTCGGATGCAGATTGGATCCACGTCTCATGACCCCAGGTCCTCAACCGAAAACTGCCGTCCAGACGCTGATGCCGTGTATGACATGACATCGAAGGCTATCCCCGCCTCTCTATCATATTTACATGACCATCCTACGCTCTAATTCACTCAGGTCGATGCGGCGTATCATCGGGAGTGAATTCCTCTAAAGCAGCATGTAAGTTGAGCCAAGCGAGGGCATCACGCGGAGCGCCCTCGTTGAAGATTGATGCTACACCTTATGTCCCTAGACGATCCAGGACCCGATGTCTCCCTGCCTTGTTTCTACGGCAGGGCCGATTCTGCCCTTCCAGCTCCTCCTTTGCTCCAATTCTTTGTTGGTTGACCACCCATTTCATCTAGAACACGGAGCCTGGGCCTCTCGGAGAAGTGCATTTGTCACTCATTCGGTTTTCGAGCGCTACACAACGCAGCCAAGTCTCCATCCAGCCTGCGAGGTTACCATCGGCGGTTTGCCGTCGCTCACGGGATATAGACAAAGGTCATTCCAGGAGCCAGTGTGGTGGTATATCACATACTTTTAGAGTTAACTGCAACTTTATCCAGCATTTGGATTCTTTGAAGCCTTCTAGACCTCGGGTGCCGCCTCTGTTCCCGTACAATCGCGCCTTGGCCGAGTACATTTGCCTATATCGTCATAGGATCAACAAAGGCCCACCCGACCTGTCTCTCCTCCCTTCTCGCAACGAAACACCTATATTGATTTTGTTATAAAGCGCGGATATACTTCTCGTTTTGCTACTTTTGATATCTATTTCCCCTTAATCTCATCCATTTCGACTCTAATTCGGCTTCACACCCGGAGCCTGCATCGAACCATGAAGCTCTTGCGAGTCGCTACGGCGGCCCTGTTAGCTCTCATAAGGCACACAGATGCGGTTTCAACTTTTGAACCGGCAAGGCCTCCTGCTGCTCCCCTAGCCGTGCGAGCACCTTATCTAAATGTCTGGCTCAATGGCCAGACGGATGGGCGACCGAGTGGTTATCTCGCTGGCGAGTGGCCCAGATTCTGGACGTAAGTTCACTCGTCCACAAGTCGGCGTAAATTCACGGCAACTAATCACCCCACAGGCAAGGATTCCAGGCATGGCAAGGATTCATCATGGTGGACGGCAAGGCTTACAACTGGATGGGAGGAGCCCCTGGCGCAGACAACGTTGACCAGCAGTCACTCAAGTATACATCAACTCGGACGACCTTTACCATGAATGCAGGAGGCCAAGTTCAATTAGTTGCCGAGTTCTTCTCTCCAGTCTTCCCTGACGACTTGAGAAGACAGTCCATCCCATTCTCATATCTGAAGATCTCCGTGGTATCCCTAGACGGGCGTTCACACCATGTTCAAATCTACGCTGACGTGTCAGGAGGTATGTCGCCATAAGCTTTGGATAAAAGTACATGGCTAATCAAGTATAGAATGGGCATCTGGTGATAGCTCACAAACAATTCAGTGGGAGCACCAGGCTGGCGGCGGAATCCGTTCTCACAAATTCTATCGCCAAAATCAAGAAAAGTTTGGGGAAGCCAATGATCAAGCCTCCTGGGGCAACTGGTATTGGTCGACAGGGGACATTGTAAGCTTGCTGCAGAAGACCCGATACAAACCGATACTGACTCCAAAATCCAGAGAGGCGTAACATATCAAATTGGCCAGGACACAGCTGTCCGCGGCCAATTTCTGTCCAACGGCACGCTTACCGGTCATATCGACACGGATTACCGTGCGGTGAATGATCGATGGTAAGCTACGATGCTGTGTAAGATGCTTGCACAACTGACGTTGATTATAGGCCCGTCTTTGCTTTTGCGCGCGATCTCGGTGCAGTTGGAAGAAGCGGTTCTCCATCTACTCTCTTTACCATTGGCATTGCCCAAGAGGAAGCCATCTTGTTCCAGGGTCGAGGCGATTCGCCTCAAGAGGTTCCTTCGCTCTGGACAAATTACTTTGATGAGGAGGAGCTGGCTCCGTTCTTCTACAAGGACTATACCTACGCCAGCCAGTATGCTACCAGACTGGACAATCGCATCGCGACTGACTCGATCGCGGCCGGCGGCCAGGACTATCTCACCATTACGAGTCTGGCTGTCCGACAAGCCTTTGGTGCTCTCCAGTATACGGGCACCGAGGACAACGTCAGAGTGTTTCTCAAGGAGATCAGCTCCAACAGTGACATCCAAACGGTGGACGTCATTTTTCCCACTTGGCCCATCATGCTGTATCTGGATCCCAATCTCATCAAGTACACCTTATCGCCCCTCCTCGAGAACCAGGAAAGCGGCCAGTACCCTAATAAATACGCGATACACGACCTTGGCAGGTTCCCGCAAGCTTTGGGCTATCCTGGCGGCAATGACGAGGCCATGCCCCTGGAGGAATGCGGCAACATGATTATCATGATGCTGTCGTACGCTCAGAAGACGGGCGACGTCGATTATCTCAGACAACACTGGACGTTGATGGCGCAGTGGGCAGAGTATCTGATTGAAGATGCCAAAATCCCGGCAAACCAGCTGTCGACAGACGACTTCGCAGGTCATCTTGCGTATGTTTTCCCTACTGGCATCATTATAGTTTTATAAGCCGAGCGCGTACTGATACTACAATGACAGGAACCAAACCAACCTCGCCATCAAGGGCATAATTGCACTGGAGGCCATGTCTCGCATAGCTACACTTACTGGCCACAATGTCATAGCTGGGAACTACTCGTCAATCGCCAAAGACTACCTCGGTTTCTGGTCCCGTCACGGCATCAACCGCGCTGCGGTGCCAAACCACAGCGTGCTCCAGTATGATTCGGCCGCCACATACGGTGAGTTCTGAAGCCCAAAACTGCATCCTTGATTGGCAGGCTATTGTTATTGACGACTCATCCTACAGGTCTCCTGTATAACATCTATCCAGACAAGGCACTTGGACTCAAGTTCATCCCGCAGTCCGTCTACGACATGCAGAGCGACTTCTACCTGGCCAAGGCCAACAAATACGGAGTGATCCTCGACACACGCGGCACGCTAACCAAGACTGACTGGGAGATGTTTGCAGCGGCCGTGGCTGGGCCGCGCACAAAGGCCATGTTCATCTCCCTGATTGCCAAGTGGATCAACGAGACGCCGACGTGGCGGGCCTTTACCGATCTGTATGACACGAACACGGGAGGATATCCCGGTAACCAGTTTACGGCCCGGCCGGTGGTGGGCGGTGTGTTTTCTGTGCTGGCGCTGCAGTGAACGTTAGCGAGCCGAGGTCATGAGCACAGCAGAATTTTCTTTTTTTTTGATCGGATTGTCCTTTTGCAACGTCCGTTGGAATGTCTCACCCCTTCGGACTTTTCTTTTTCTAGGGGACAAAGTGGCTGCTGCTCTGCAGTAGCTGGCCTATAGTCTGATAAGCCGGGCTTGGTGTGAGTGCCGAGCGATTATCCATATTGGAAACAGCAGGAATATGAATATATCAGTTATGCCATATTAACGGCTGTAGCTAATGGCGGCGGTGATACTAACGAAGGCCGTTTATCATGCATTGCTACCCCGTACCTACCAGCATCATGCCATCAAGGGGTCATCGGCTGAGATTGTTCGCTACAAAGACGTAACCACGTGAGGAAATAAGACGCTGTTAGGCCAGGAACAGGGGAGAGCGACGTGGACAAGTAATATCTAAGGCGAGCGAGCTGTGGCATTTCGCCATATTGTCGGTGAGACGCGGGGGGGCTGATTCAAGTGGTTGGAGAAAACGGTCCAGAGATGCAGCGTGCTTAGTGCGGGTGTGCCTGGTGATGCTTGTGATTGGGATCGAACGCCCCCAATGGGGTCCAAAAGCAGCAAGCAGCTGCGTTCTGCATGCCAGCGAGTCAAGGCGTCAAATAAACAAGAAGCAACAGGGAGGGAGCTGCATGAGGCGTGTCCTTGTTGTCTCAGGATTCTGCGGCTGGGAGGGTATTTCGATGGAGATGGGGATGGGGATGGGGTACGGAGGATTCCTCGTACATGCTCTTACATGTACAAGTACATGCGAAGGGCAGTACCTGAAGAGAAGGATTCTAGTAGTGCCATTTTGGCTGTTCTACCCTTGGGAGGGGAATAGACTGAGGAAAAGGGGAGAAGAGGTGATACTTATTGAGGCCATAAGATGGGGGTCGGCATGATGCTTCTAGAGGTACATAGGAAGTTTTTGTAGTCGTATCGTGTTCGTGTTGCTTGGAATCATCGGCAACAGAGCGTCTTACAGGGGAAATTGATGCCCCGGGAATCTGTAGATTGATGGCGTGATGGTTGCTATTCTTGTCCAAACTAGCATCGCGCTTCTCGTCATCAATGTCAGCCAGAGCAAGCCGGCCTTGGGGCCCGGATCACGAAATGATGCAACGGTGATGAGGCCAGCTGTAATAGCAGACGCAGGAGATTTTAGCCAGGCTCTAGTTCAGTTGATAGGTTCCTAGGCGGGCACGATGATGGGGGGGGAATGCGGGGAGCGGTTCCGCCCAGCGCAGCAGCCCCTCCAGCCCACTTGCTGCAGCGGCATTAGGGCAGCCAAGGGGGGGCGCAGGGCTCTGTTTTAGCGGGCTGAGCTTCCCCTAGGCCTCCATCTCCACTGAACGCCTCCCTAACCCGAGCCAAGCAAGGCACCAGACGCTCACCTCACCTTCCATTGAACCACCAGCAGGACCCGACGCCGACCGCAACCCCCTTTGCCTATCTTACCTAGATATAGTCGCCGGCGTCCTTTCTCCCGTCTTGACCTTGTTGTTCGGCTTCACATTTGACAACGTCGTCGGACTGTTGCGCAATTTCTCAAATTCTCGCCGCTGTCGGTTTCGATGGGCTCCCTTACGATGGCTTCCTCGACAATTGCTGTCGTCTTATGTTAAACCAGTTCTCATCATTGCTGTTTTCTCATCTCTCTTCTTCCCCGTTGCTTATCTGTGCTCTGGTGCTCCTGTTTTGACTCGTCATCGTTCTTCCTCGGATCGTCAACATCCCTTTGCTGTCCCCAATCCTGCCCCATTGCTCTTACGTACCTTTTTCAAAGTTCTTTTTCTTGTTGGGGAGAGATCCAAGTCAAGACTCGGTGCCCGAGCTCGGAGACCGCCAGAAAGTCGCGACTCGTGTTCGTCACTCAACCTAAAAGATGGCCCGTTTCGTCGATCTCGACGAGGAACAAAGCCAGGCGCAGCCAATGGCCACATGGCAGGACGCGGGCAGGTTTCGCGCAATGTCTGAGCACGGGGCCGCTGCCGTGGTCGTTGGCGATGGCGATCGAAGCATCAACACGGCGACTCGACGCTTTCCCAGTAGGAGGAGCACCATGACGGACAAGGCGCCCGAGGGAGCGTCTGAGGCGGGCAAGGGAAAGGGCGTCATGACCGACAGCGCCATGGGCGAGGCATTCCAGTGCTATCCGTATGTTGCTTTGTTTCCAATGCCTTATCTCGTCGTCACAGAGAGCAAAGACTGACTGCTTTCTTCTTCCAATCCAGCATTGTCGTCGGCATCGTGTCCCACATTGACCTCAACACTCTCGATGCATTGGCCCGCTCGTGTCGTCTTATCCACGATGGCCTGATCCAATACCGAACGAGTCTCATGGCCGCGACGCTGCGCTGCTCCCGAGAGGCTGTACCGGTCGACCCAGAGCAGACGCTGCGATACCGCGCGCGAGCGAGCGACTGGAATTACATGGACGATGGGCGCAATCATAACGGGAAAGCGGGCAGCTGCGCTCGCGACCTGGTCACTGAATGCAGGAGATGCGCCGACGTGATTTGCAGGGTGAGCCTCTACTTTGGCGATGCATTGGCCTCGCACCTGAACAGCTGCTAACAGGTACGGCAGAACTGCGCCATCAAGCCTCCTCTCTCGACTGCTCTGCGCGAGCGTCACCGTCGGCTGTGTGTCACTTGCGCCAAGGCTCCCATTGCGGCGCTCGCGTCGCCGGCGCTGGATCCATCGTTGCCTCTCAGCTCCGAGGCTGTACAACGCGCGATATGTCAGTGCGACACCGAAGGCGTCTGGCTATGCCAGCCTTGCGGCCATAGCATCCGCAATGCAGACCACGACTACAAAGGGTACGTTTTCGTGGCCACCTTGAGCAAGACAGCTCCGACCTAGATCTAACGCGAAATCATAGAATCTGGCGCTGGCGCACCAAATACGGGGGCTTCACCGGCATCGGAGACGGCGACCGCGGCGTAATATGTGGCCGCGAGGAAGCCTGTCTCGCTGCTCGCGAGCGGGAGCAGGAGACCGACTGCGATGCCGAAGATGCCCGGGGCAACACCCTGGTTCCGTGGTCGACCGGGTCCTCCTCCGGCGGCAGCCCGAGTCCGGGGTCGGGCTCGGGCCCACTGCACTCCGGGACCCCCCCGGGCGGCGGTGCTGGGTTCCCGTTTCCCACCAACGGCACCATCGAGTCCATCATCGACGAGATGCGCCATCAGCGGACGCCGTCGCCGCAGCTGGGGCCGGGATACGAGAGGCACGAAATCGAGGGCATAGGCGGCATCGTCAAGCGCAAGCTTGTCCGCATGGTGCGGGTGGGGGCCTGCGTGCCTGAGTGGGAGGACGAAAAGGGCAGCAACAACAAGATTCTGGCTCGTGAGGTGAATGGCGCGGCACGAAGCTGGTGCGGCTGGTGCTGGAGAGTCATTCCGGGCGAGAAGGACAAGAAGCAGGTTGCAAAGCAATGAATTGAGGTTCATACGAGAGACGAAACGGTATTAGACGGCTGGACATAGTTCATTCCTTACCCTCTTGATGATGGCATTTCCCTACTTCTTCTTATGTCATCTTGGCGCTTGTATATTGGATGACTACTATTTGGGATTTGATCCTGGTTGAGTGAGTTGCTCAACAGTAATGGATGGAGTGCGTCACAATTAGAAGTATCTTACTCTCCCAGGGAGCTTGTTCGTCACGACTTGTGTATGGTGCCATGTTCGTCATGAGAATATCCTCTGAAGATTCTTATATCGTACATTACGCTCAATCCTTTTCAGCCCTAATGCCATACCCATGCTCTCGAGCCCTCTTTCTCAACACATTGGCATCCCGCATGTCCCCAAACCCATCTAGAATCCCTTTCTGTCAAAAGGCAAAACTCACAGCTCCCCCCGATACAGCATCTCCGCCCTCCTCTTCCGGTCCTCCCTCGCCGCCGTCCGGATGGGCCCCCACCGCTCCATCTTGCGCTCCATCTTGGCCCTCAGCCAGCGCAGGTGCTCCTCGGGCGCGGGCGCGGCCATCTGGACGAAGACGGTGGAGCACTCAAACTTGCGCGCCAGCCGCTGCACGCTCCAGGTGAGGGGGTCCTCGGCGCGCAGGCGGCGCATCTCCTCGATGTGCTCCTTGGTGAGGTTGTATTTCGGCTGGCGGCGCTTGTAGCGCATTTCCGGGGGGAGGTCCCCGTCTGCTGTTGCGTCTGTCGATGAAGATGCGGATTGTGAGGAGGCTGTGGGGTCGCTAGAAGTGTTATTGTTGTTC